AACAAGAACTGTGGTTGCGAAAGTCTTGCAGCAGGGGGGCGTAGCGCACACACAGGTATTTGATAGATGGTTGAGTTTGTTGTTTGGCCGACTCCAACCTTGGACAACCTCGCAAGGATGCAAAAGGATGTAGAGTAATCCGCGTGACCATCAACGAAGATGCAACAACACAGAAATGCATTGACTGGCTGAACCGTGAAATCGGCATGTTCAAGAAGCAGCGCCCAACAGCAATAATAGTGCTACTGTACGGCAGTTTGCCCTGCACTGGTGGGAGCCCATGGGGACATGTAAACAAGCAAACTGAGGAGGGCTTTGATCGCATCAGAGAGCAACAAAAGGAGTTCACAAAACTGTTCAAGAACTTCACAAGGCTTGTGCGTGAAAATGATCATTCCAGGATGTTTGTTGCCTTTGAGCTTTCCCGCCGTTGTCGCTACTGGCATTGGCCGTCGGTGCTGGTTTTCATCAAACAGTATGAACTGCATGGGTATACAGCTTTGACGGATGCATGTTCGGTGCGCGCGATAGTCATGGTGACCTCATGCGCAAAGGTTGGCGTATTGCTACCAATATTCAGGAGCTTGCGTGTCTCGAGCAGTATATGTGCACACATGAACGCATGCGCGGACAGAGTAGGGGCAAGTCTCTGAAGAGTGCCACTTTTGAGTACACTGATCTTGTGCACCGTTGTTTCAAGAATAGCAACCCAAGCCTTCCAGCTGCCGTCGTGAAGCGAGCCCTCCCGGCTATCATGGCGACCACTTCCTACGCCTCGGCGGATGAGGAGACGAAGGCTGAGACGCTCAAGATCTTTGAGGATCGCTTTCGCCAGATCATTGCATGGCTACTCCGAGGACATTGGTGCTGTGATCAATGGCGTGCTTGGGCAGCACACTGCCCACTCTTGCATGCAGGGTGGATGAGGCCAGAGCTCGAGCCGTTCGTGAAGACGTACAAAGAGCAGTTGGCCACCTTCACCGGTGTGCAGATCCTGATCTCGGATTCCACACTGAATTTTGTCAGTGGCTCGAAGCGCAAGCCAGAGCGCTTTGATCTTGCAGACCACTTCCAGGCCCACAAGCCATCGTATTGCCAGCGCTACCACCATGAGTGCATTTGGGGAGCCGAACTTGATCACCTACTCAAACCAGCAAGGATCGCGATCAGAAGCCTGAAGGCTCAACCCTGGTACTATGATCGCCTGGTGGCAGTGGTTTGGTCTGGCAACGAATTGGTTGGCAAAGATGGTATCGAGGACTCATCACCTGGCCGTTCACGGCATGCGAGGGCAACAACCACGAGAAGCTGATGAACCATGTTCAGGAGACTGGTCGGCTTTTCCGCCGACTGTCACCGTTACGGTGTTCATTCAGCCGCTGTCGCCAGCGTGCCCGATCCTGGAACCTACGGTTTCACCAAGCATGGACCGCACGCTTCGTGGATGAACGAGCTTGCAGGCTGGTTTCAAGATATTGTCTACCCGAGCCAGATCGGCAAGTGCCGATTCAGGCTGGTGAACTTGCCAGCAGAGGTCAACCAACCACATAGTTCATCATTTCACTTTGGACCGCATAGTTCGTCTATATGGTTCTGCTGACCAGAGGGCCGTGCATACGCATTTCTTTTTGGGTTTTGTCCGAAGATTGGACACAATATCGCATTTCTATCAAATGTTCTGGCTGCAATAAGACAGCTGCTAGGCCGCTGTTCAGGCCACTCTTGTTCCTAAGCAACCTTGGTTGAAATGAAAGGTTACGCTAAATGACTGATGAGTTCCACGTGAAAGGTCAGTGGTTGCGGTATAAAAACGGCCCAGAAAAGAACCATTCGAACCACATTTATTCCTCTGCAATAATAGCATGTTCCACTTGATGATGAGGTTGTACGTATTGGGAGCACGTCAGCGCTACGAGGACATCCTCAAGGGCCTTGCAGAGATCCGCCGCCAACGCGCTGTAGCTGTAGCTGAGCCTATGGCAAGGCCGTTGAAGAGGAAGGAGGTGATTGCAGAGCAACCCAACGACGAGCCCGCTGACGAGCCCGATCTGTCTGACATCTTTGTGGCCAACGATGCAACCGCAGAGAAAATCCTTGAACAGAGGAAGCGACTCATTGAGGAGGAGCAGGAGCAGGAGCGCGTCGCAGAGGAGCTCAACATCAACCGTGACACCTATGAAGGTAGGCTTGAGGCCATTGAGGAGCTCGCTCAGCGCATTAGCAGCGGTCAGCAACCGGCACATTGGCTGGACACCAAAGAAGAAGAAGAAGAAGAAGAAGAAGAAGAAGAAGAAGTGCCATCAACCGAGGATCAGCCTGACGAGGTAGAGGAAGTGCCTGTCAGAAGCTGATGAAATGCCGGTTGAGGAGGCGGAGACGGCCGCCATCACTGGTGAGCCCGAGCCTGAGGCCCATCACAGCCCAACTGATGCGATGGACAGTCTCCCCATCTCGGCGCAATACCTGAGGACCAGTACCAGGATTATGAGAATATTGCACCATCGAGAAAGATGGCTCTCTGCACCACAGTGAGAATCGGAGATCATGAGTTTCCTCTCGAGTTCGCTAGCGGCTGGGATCTGAACGGCTACCACTTGTTTTTTCCAAACAGTTTAAGGACCACCTGACCCAGTAGTTGTCCAAAGTGGTATGCCAGCACGATCTGTACCTTGGTCTTCAGGTAGCTGAGGAGGGCTTCGCAGACATCGACGAAGTTGCTCGCTGTTTCAAATTGAACAACAAGAGAGCGCCAAACCTCACGGTATAAAGGACATCATTGCCATCGCCTCCAAAGACAACAAAAATCGGTCTGAATTCCTCGGAATCAGTGAGGAGAGCAAGAAAGACGCCAAATGAGGCTCTGGCCCTTTAAGATGCGGCCCGCAGCAGGTGAGAGCAGACATGCCATGCGCAAAGCAGAAGATGCATATCGCGCCGCAGACCTCATCTATTGCAGCGCATCGCTCAAGCCTGAAGCCAAGGCTCCCTTCGCAAGGAGGCCCATTGCCAAGGAAGAAGACATCCCAACATTGGCTTTTCACCAAACCGTCCTGCTTGTTGGAAGAGGATTCTTGAGCAAGGCCTGATCCCTGGCGGTGGCGAGTTTGTCGGGTCCGACTGCGCCCATGTCTATACATGTCAGCCAACAGAATCTCCGACGTTGGCTATCAGAGCAGGCTACGCGGCAAATATCCAGTGCAAATCACTGTGGCCATCAAAGAGGCAGTTGAGGACGGCTTGATCTTCTTCAAGAATCGCAGCGGAGGGATTCTGACGGTCAACACCGTTCCTGAATACATCGGGAAGATGGACCGGAACACGCGGAGCTTCCTTAACCTCATCAGCTCGAACCGATCCTCCTGATCTGCCCAATGACAAAAAGCAGGCCCCGAACCGTTCAGTGTCCTCGAGTGCTGCTTTGATGGCCTTGATGTCGACCATTTGCCATCCTTGGGAAGCCGCATGCTCCATAGCCTTCTCATCATCCAGGCGAGTCAGGGCATCGGAGTCTTCATTTTCCATGTCGAGGATACAGACTCCTGCGGAAGAAGAGGAGAGCTCGGCCACGTCACTGGTGCGCCCGACGCAACCATCGCAGCAAAGGCTGTGCCTCCGACGCTCACCGCGAGCAGTATAAAGGCCAACTGCAAAGCAGCAGGTGGGCCGAAAGCAGAGGCAGCGATCTCGCCTCGGAGGACCCAGCAGCCTGTGCAGCCTTCGCATCCGCCTCCTGGCTTTGCTCCTCCCGAACCTGTTGGACCACCTCCCGGCTTCGCGCCGAATTTCATGGCAGGGCAGAGGAAGGACTATTATGCTACTTGCCGATATACGAATTATTAGGGTGCAGCACTTAAGATCAGAGTCACTGCTGCTAGTGGACGTGGCAGCTTGAGTCCGGAAGCAGCCCTCATCCAAGAGGCCAGAAATCGCCGCCGGCGTGCTGAGAAATGCGGTCCAGCATCGAGGATCGCTGTGAACACGACCTCCAGTTTATGGAGCGAACGCTCCAGATGGGGTACGATTTCCGAGGCGCCTAGCGACAAGACTTCCTTGTGCACTGCCACCTAGCGAACCCTCCTCGAAGCAAAGCCCAGGTCAATCTCGGACTCGGTTGCGATGACGACCATGCTCTTTACGTCGTCGATGTAGTGCCCGAGCAATTCCCGGAGGCCATGGACTACATCGTGGATCAACGGTGCGTCTTCTATCGTACCAACATCCTTTCCTTGAGGGAGTACGCTGAGTATGTCAAGACTTCCGAAGCGCGTCGCAACTTGCTGGCTTGGGATGGCATGAACGGATCAGGACCAGCCGATGGTCAACTTTCGCTAGATTTGTGACGCAAGTCACGCAGCTGCTCGTCAGGACATGATCAACAAGCTCGGCCAGGAGCAACGACAGCAGCAGGCAAAGAACGACAGCAGCAGGCCTAGGGAAAGCGCAACATTCTCCCGCTACAAAGGCAAAGGGATCCGAGCCACCTTCAACGGTGCGCCCAGCTGACGCGAGCGAAGGATGGAGCCAGTGGGGCGAGCAGCGGCAGTGGAGCCGTGGCGCTTGGGACTGGAGCTCGAGTCAGAGCTGGGGGCGATGGCGCTAGTTGAGCCAAGTCTCAACATTTGCGAGCGTAATTCAGTAGCATTTGCGTGATGTCCTTCGCAAATATGTAGCGGTTTTCTTCCCAAGGCCCAAGTCCAAACTTTCAATCTTTCTTCTGGCGGCGGCGCGAATGGCATGGGTTGCTAGCGCCGCGCCGCGCCCGTGTATGCCACTGCAAGCCTGCTTCATCGTAGTGCCCTGCGCTAGCCCTTGTGCACTTTCCGCGTACCTTCAGCTGAGGGGGGTGTATTTTCACTCCAGGTAGTATGTACACGTTTGCCATGCATTGTATATAGGATATCGTATACGCATACCTTGTAGCTGGCCCAAAACAGGAGCGGTAGCTTAACGGCTGTTTTTATACATTTCTGGCAAACCTTGTCCATTCTGGTTGGCCCAAGGTTGTTGGCACAACACCTCCCGAGGACCCAAAATGGGTTCTTGTGAGCCAAAAGTTATGGACTTATGGATGATCTTTCAATTCAGCCATTCCCTCAAGAATGTTTCATTTGAAGAAACCATTCTTTTCCGAATCTCCAGCCAGGACAAAGAGTTTGAAGTCCAAGTCGCCTCAGCCGCTTGGACAAACACACGTGTGGATTAACCACTTGAATCTGCTTGAACTTCTAAAGTTTCGAAAAAACAGCGTCCCATTATTCTGCCAGACCCCTCGCGAAATTCGAAGTCAGGTCGTGACCGACTTGGCTGCAGGGATAGGCCAATTCTGGCCAGGTTTCATCGGGGAAATTGAGGGCACAGACCTTGGCGCTTTGGCTGTTGCCGTTGAGGCCAAACGAAAAGAACCGATCAGTGTCCTGGTTCCCATTAGCGCCAGGTCGACGTCGCATATGCTTCCGGTTTCATTGCACTCGAATCCCTTTCCCATGCAACGCGCAGGCGCAAAGACGATCACAGGCGCCCATATTGATCACGGGGGAGGTGTCCGACGATGCCTTCCGCATTTTGGACGATGCTATCTGGAGGCATTTCAGCTTGGATGAGTTGAATCAGCCATTTCTGGCCGAACGGGGTTCTCCTGGTTTATCCAGTTGTGGAAGTAGTTGAGTTTTGTTCAAAACCTACACTAGTTCGGGTAGCATTTCCGCGAACTTGGCGTGATGTTGCGCCCAGGTGGGGGTTTCAAGTATAGCTTCTTAGATGTTAATCCAAGGATGTCAGTAGCGTCATCATCATCATCATCATCGTCGTCGTCGTCGTCCTCATCATCGTCATCATCATCATCGTCATCATCATCAGCATCATCATCGTCATCATCATCATCATCATCACCATCATCATCATCATCATCATCGCGCAGGTGTGGAGATATAAGTGATTTAATTGCTACAACGCACCTACAAAGGTACAGGTGTGTAGATACATGTGTTTGGACACAGGTGTTGGAATTTAGGGTGTTGAGATACAGGTGTTGAAGTAGAGGTGAAGACACATGTCCCTACTATGGCTGCCAAACAACTTCAAGGGTTCATGGGACACTCAGCTGTTGTGGGGGGCGTGTAAGTTCCCTTCCCACGGAACGCTGATGGACACTTGCAACAAGGTCATCAAGAAACATGTACAAGACAATTCAAAGCAGACTGCAGAGAATGATGATGAGTCAGTCAACCTAAAGCTCGCGAACCATCTGCTTCGGGGAAGGTCTGCGTGTCCAGCAGCAGTGAGCAGCGTTGGTGCGGCCGGTGTAAACACAATGGGGTTTCCCCCAAACAGTGCGTCCACGCTGAGGGGTTCTTACGGTAGGTGTAAACGGCCGGGTTCATCCAGGGTGCTCTCTCCCGTGTGTTTTGGCTGCGCAGGCTCGCAGAAAAGTTCTGTTCTGAGATCTCCAAATGCAATTCTGCGCAGGGTCGCGCGAAACGCTGGCTGCCTTGACGGAGGCGTGGTCTTGTTGTGGCGCCGTGTGCATTTTCGGAGTGGGCGATCACTTTCCGTGGCAGGCGCCAGGGAAACCTTGTGGTCAGGTCCAACGCCGACCTTTCATGACAGGCGCAGGAGATTGGAGAGGTTTTGCGTCAATGTACAGATTTCGTGGCAGGCGCAGTACTTTGGACATGGTGGTGGTCTTCGGCGTGCTCTGATTTCATGGCAGGTGCAGTGATTCGTGACTTTGAGCATATCGTTTTCGCGCAGGTGCAGTATTTTGTGGACCTTGAAGGAGGACCTTGAAGTGATTTTTGCAGCAGGTGCAGTTTTGTGGACCTTGAAGGGCAAATTTTCGCGGCAGGCACCGTGCTTTGTGGACCTTGAAGTGCAGAAGGCGCAGCGCTTTGTGGACCTTGAAGTGCAGAATTCGTGGCCTGCAGTGAACCACCATCCACCGCCATTATCACCACCATCACGTCTCTGAACCCCAATAAATTCTAGATCTCTAGGCTTTCTGCTGCTACACCTCAACCTCAAACGCTGTGTCAGTGTTGCCGGATGGGTGGCGTCGGACGCTGTGGAGCAAAGGCGGCGACTGGTTGACCGCCAGTGAGACCTACCGCCACTGGCCTCACGCTGAGCCGTGGACGAGTTGCGATGTCAAGCAGTTTTTCCAGGGCGCGTCAACTTTCGTACGATGAGGGTTGAACAGCAATGTCAAGTTGCTCTTCTGAAAGCTTTGCCACAGTCTCCTGTTGGCTGGAATTGGTGTTTTGGGTGTTTAAATTCTTATCAGCTTGGTGGCTTGGGGAAGGGGCCTCGCTTCTCAAGAACTTGCTCAACACTGATCCTTCGTCTTCATTGTCCGAGTTGTTGATTAGCTTGAGGTCGCGGAGGAGGTGGTTGATCGGGTTCCGCCTGACCTTGTCCTTTTGGTGTCAACTTGACCGCTTCGCCAAGTCCCTTGAGGACGGTCCCACAGGAGGGCAAGGGTGGCTCTAAGGGCGATGGAAAGTCGGATCCATCGAAGAGCAAGACTACACCTCACCTGTGGAAGTACCAAGCATCCCAAACCTGATTGTCCGGTGTTGAAGAAGGATGCGCGAGCTTCTAGCAGGTGGGAAAGAACCGCGAGAAACCGCCCATCAAAAACAGAGACTTTGCCGTGCTGGTTCTATATGACGTGCCTTTTACAGAGACAGAGACCGCTGACCGACTTTCAATATCAGACCATAGCTTGAGTTGATCCTGATAAGGGTTCTCTGAGAGGGTTTGCGATGAAGGGCCCAATTTGAAAGGTGTGGTGACGCTGGTGGACGTCCTACGGCGACCATGGAGGTTGCGGGCTGGCTCACTAACTGGCTATAGAGGGTCGGGAGATTGAGAGCAACAAGAGTCAAGGCTCTTCGAAATCGCGCGGGATAGTTGATCTTCCATGGAATTGAAAAAAGCAGGAGGAAGTTTGAGTCCTCAAGGCTTTTGATCAGTCACCTCTTTTCCAGCAGTTTGTCATCATGCTGGTCAAAGCGCTTGGATGCGACATCAAGGTTTGTCATCTCACTGAGTGGACCGGGAATCAACCTCGAGAAGATCTTTTGGATGATGGATTGGCTAGCAGTTGCGCGGGCGAGGAGCTGTTGATTGCCTTCTGGGTGGACCCATGTTGGACTGTGAGCAAGCTTTGCTTTCGTCGACCTGGTCCTCCTTCTCTTCGCGCGCATAGTTGCCCTGGACGCCCAGGACCCTGAGGCCCTTGAGGAGCGCAAGAGACCTGACGATGAGCGCGTCCAAGCTATTTTGCATGGCTTGAGCGGAGATCCTTTTGCGGGGAGTTCGCGATCAAGGAAGAAGTGCGTTTGGACTTGGAGCTTTAGGGCATGCTCGGAGGAAACCCACAACTCTGCATTGAACGTGGCTGTACTCTTCAATCTGAAGGTACGAGGGGAGATGGAATGGGTGTTGACCCCAACCTGCACGACTCAGCTGGATGTCCTCCGCGCCGTTTGCCAAGTTGCAGGAAAGCCGCCTCAAGGTCCACGCTCAAAAAACATACATGGAAATACCGGTGGCCATTGTCGGTGAATCGTGGCCACCGTCTTCCGCTCTCCTGAATGGGAAGTTGGCATTGCCACGCGCCGCCGGATCATTCAGGCGCACCACAAGCTAGACATCAATACTTGCTTTGCAGTTTGCAACACAAGATAACGAAAACTACTCGTTGGAGGCTCGTCTTCGGTGCAACGCAAATTTAAGCTGACGCCAAGGACACAAACTCGGCCGAGTGTCTAACTTATGTTCCCAGACAGCAGGCCACAACCGCCGCAAAAAGTCTGAGCGATCAGCAAGACCTTGAAAAGCCAAACGCCAGAGATCTTTATCTAGATGTTTTTCGAGAGTCAAACTGAGACCGCCCCAACGCCAGGTGCGCCGCGCACCATGAACCAGCGACGAAGAACGGGGGCAGTTCATCGATGTCGTCAAAGTCGCCCAAAGGTGACAAGAGAAATGCCCGGAGATAACAAATCGGAGCAGGCCCGTCTGTGCTGCGCCAGAAAAGTGCAAAGAATCAAAGACTACGGAAGTGTTCCATAGCACGATGGACAGGAAGCATGCCCACGCATACGGTAGACACTAAAGGTTAGTTATCAGCCCAATCCCCCCGCGCCATGACCAAGAAGCGAGTCTGGTTATGGAAAAGGCATGCTTCCCACAACTGTTAAAGGGGAGGCGTGCCAACTACTGCTAAAGTTTGCGTTTCTTTGGCAGATCAGGGGCTGTCGACTGCTGGATGCTGGTGCCACTCGAACTGGCTGGCACAAGTCGTGGCCTGTAGTGGCTCACAGCAAGGCAAGTTGACGATTCTTCTAGCATTCTGAGCCCTCGCTCAGATCGGGGTGAGGATTTTTTGCAACATGTAGTGCTGACAAGGAAAAAGTTGAATCGCGCTGAAACCAATGTGCATACAAGCAAGAGCGTGCAAGGTGTTTGACGTTTGCCTTGTGGCACTTGTGGCTTTGTTGCCAAGTCTGACTTTCACCTTCTGGAAGGCGGTGTGCCTTTTTTGACGTTCCGAGCGAGCCGGCGTTGATCGAGATTCAGGCGTGGGCAATGTTGGTTCTTGCGGACTGGGAATGCAAGGCGAGCATGTTGAAGTAGCCTTTAAAGCGCATGAGCAAGCCAGCGCGCCTCAATCACGGACACTGGGCGGGATTGCGGTTTCTCGCCAAAACCGAAGCAAAAGTTGATTGTCGCCAACGGTTGCGAGGTCGAAATTAAGCTTTGTTTCTGTACATGTTGTATCTACACGCTTTTGTTTTTGCAGCTTGAAGCTTTGTTGTAGCTACCGTCGACGGACAAATTCCTGCACAACGGCCGCCTGACGACCGCAAAACCATCACGTTATCCTCAAAATAGCACTTCGGGCTCCCTTTGTAAAACAGTCGGATCAACTGTATGGGAAACGGGCAAAAGGTGAATGAGCAAAACTTGGTGGAATCCCTGCGCCAAGCGTGTGACATGTGTATAACCTTTGCGATCGCGAGGTGCCTCTCAGCGTTTTGAAAACGCTGCTTGGCTGGAGCAGGTGCAGCGCTTTGGACACGCATGGTGGTTATCTTCGACGCGCTCTAATTTCGTGACAGGTGCAGTGAATCGTGAGTTTTGGACACGTGGGTCGTTTTCAGAAATCATAACAGGCGCAGTACTTTGTGGACCTTGAAGTGCAGGTTTCCTGGCAGGTGTAGCGCTTTGTGAACCTCGAAGTGCAGATTTCGCGCGCGAAGTGCGGTTTTCGTGGCGCGCGCAGTGCTTTGTGAACCTCGAAGTGCAGATTTCGTGGCGCGCGCAGCGCTTTTTGTGAATTTTGAAGGGCAGATTTCGTGACGCGCGCTTTGTGAATCTTGAAGTGCAGTTTGCGCTCACTCTCAACTCTCAGTCTCACTCTCATTTTCACACACTCTCTCTCTCTCACATTCTCACCCCACTCTCACTCCCACACTTTCACTCACTCCCCCTTTCCCCCTTTCCCCCTTTCCCCCTTTCCCCCTTTCCCCCTTTCCCTCCCTCCCTCCCTGTGAGGTACATAGTCGATATAGAGGCTGTGAAAAAGCAGACATACATATCTAACTCTTTTTCATACAGTTTCCACACTTTACAGCATGTTTTAACACTTTCTAAAATCGCTTTCTAGCATGTTTACAGCAGAAATCAAACCATTAAGGTCTTTTGAATTTAAGTTTGACTGTAAAATTTGCAGCAACAACCTTGATCACCACCATTACCAACTCTTGCGTGACACACTGACCAGTATCTATTTCACGCTGCAACACACAAAGTCAAAGAGTCAAAGGCTGTATACGAGTGAGATATGAGTGAGACAGCTGTGTCTTAGCCTATGAATCTATGACCATGTCTTTGTCTATGACTTTGTCTATGAATCTATGACTTTGACTTTGTCGACATCACATCTCCGAGAAGTGGCCCACACCTGCAGTGGCTTGTGAGTTCGAGCTCCAAACCAAGTCAATGATTGATCGCCAGACTGGCTGACACAGAGACGAAGTCTTAACTCCGCTCAGGAGAATGACTCAGCGATTGGTCAGTGAGACAGAGGCCCAAGATCCCGCTCTAGCGGAAGGACCAATCAAGTTCAGGGACGACCCTGAAGCGTCCACGATCATGTACAACGTTTGCCGCCGGTAAGATGGCATTACCTGCTCAATGCAAAAGGGACTGCACTGATCCCGATCTTGTGCAGTTGAACAAGACCCTTTTTTGTCACACGCGACGTGACGTTGGTGCATTTGATATTCGTTCGTTGTTGGCTATTCCAGTCACCAAGAAAAGAATCAACACGGTGTAACAAGAAAAAGGCATTTGGCAAGATTCCGGAGACCGCTCTACCGGCTGCCCGGAAGAATGAAGGCGTGCGGCACGCGGCCTCGGCCTTGGCATCTATGACGATAAGTCAAGATGGTCATTTGCTTTCGCACCGCGTAGCCGGTGTGTGCAGAATTCGGTTCCACCTGGCGGAGAATCAAAGAACTGGAAGTATTCTGACCTTGGTACTCCAACAACAGCCCGATGCTCAAATTTCTTCACGCGGGCGAATCAGGGACACGGAGACCGCTTTAGCGGTTATGAAAATGAGGCCCTGCAGCCAATCGATTGGACTGAATTTGGATGACAGTTTTTGTGTTCACGCCACGCTTTCCCGAGCATGGCAAAACATCAAGGAGGAAGGCATCGTTCCGGGAGGCCCAGAAAGCCGAAGGGCTCATGCACACCTCATCCCATGCTCTAGCGCGCGCAGGAAAATCGGACATTTTGATCTTTGTCCGGTTAGCCGACCTGCAGTATATTGCGGATGTTCGACAAGAGGAATACCCCCTGTCCACCAACGGATACATACGCACTAAGAGTATGTTGACAACTGACATCATGTTTTTAGTGTTTGACGTCCGACGAGGAAGATACCTGAAGGATCTCCGTGGAGTTGAGGCCCGCGCCGCAGGAGATTGAAGATGCCATTGGTTGGTACAGCGAACGGTATCGCTATACGAGATGCATCCGGATCCCGACTATCGGGCAGAGCCTGGACCATTTGAACCTCCGAGTTCTGGCCAACAAGATGCTTGCCAAGGAGGAGCCCCGACAGAACGTTGAAGAACTTGTCGAGCAGACGGTCCATGACTACGCAGATCCCGATCTATCGGAAGATGAGAAGGAGTCCATCAAGCAGGCCAAGGGGAAAAACAAAAAGACCCTTGAGCAGAAAGGCACAAGAGGCCACTGGAGTCAAGAGTCGAAAACCCTGAAGACTTTCTGGATCCAGGCATGTGTTCGTTCTGCCGAGATAGCGGCCGGCCATGACAGCATTTTTCTGCCGTATTCGCGGTAATTATACATGCGTCAATTGTTGCGAAATCGGACAGTCAGTGTCAGTTGCGACTGCGGCCTGCGGTTTTTACAGTGCTCAGTTGATCTGATGGACCCTAGTCTGAAGATTTGTGATTTGCGAGCTCATGATGACCGAACCCAATGAGAAGGAAGTCCAGGAGGAAGTGTTCAAGCGCAACTAACTTCCTGTACGGAAGCGGCGTGCAAGATGCAAAAGAAAAGCGCAAGAAGCGGACGTCGCAAATGATTGCCGACGTCCAGAAGGGCATTTCCTCCGGCGCACGCTGTGACACAGACTGTGTTAGATGCCGAAATGGACTTTCCGCTAGAAAGTTCTGTCCATCCACGATGCCTGGATTCCTGAGGCTCCAATTCTTGAGATTGACGAGACCATCTGAGAGTTTGCAACTTTCATATCAATAGTAAGATGCTCCATAAGGGCTACGGTGGATATGACCTCGTCAGATCAGACTTTACGTCACTGAATTATGCCGCTCCGGCGTCTGAGGTCGATCTTGTTGCAGGAGACGGCAACTTGGCTTGTCAGCGCATTTTTACCGGTCAAGATACTACAGACTTCATGACAAGCCTCTGCGCAGCATGTCAAAGCCGTTCTAACGGCAGTCAACAAGTTGCGAGAAATTGAACATCGCATTAGCTATGATGTGGTTTCAAACATCAGAGCTGAGGAGTGGTACAGGTCCAGTAAGGGCAATCCAGCTCATGATGGAGACTGTCTCGTACTGTATATGTTTAGGTACCCCCCAAGCAAACATCCCGGCCTACTCGCCTACCGAAATTCGGATGAAGGCCGTGCTGAGTGCGCTGAGGTGATTGGCAAGCTTGGGAGTTGGAAGTCTCAGAAGACAGTCTCAGTTCTCAAAGAGACCGATAAGGCCTGGATTGAACCACTCGTCTGTACCGCTCGAAACTACACCAACCAAAATGCAAGAACCCGCTCAAGGACGGGAATGCAACAGAGAGCGGGCAGGTATCGATACCTCGCGAGGCCGACCTACCGGCCAAGCCAGTGCCCAGGAGCGATCACGGTCCGAGCGAGGGACACGTTGGGTCCGCAGAGACGATCCTCGCAACGCGCGGTAAGAGCTAATGCGAAAATGTCCAGCCATTTTTCGACGCCATACATTTTCGTTCGTTCTGAGAGTGCCACGCTCTAGACCGCTCTATGGTCAATTCAGTTCATTTGTGTTTGTTTTGTTTCTGGCTTTTGGGCTCCCATTTGCTGACGATTGTTCTGTATATGCTCTTTCGCAATGCGCGCGACTGCCAATATTTTGGCTCAAGGTACATCTTGCGCGACAAGGAAAAGCCGCTTAGCTCGCCTTCGCTCGCACCTTCTTGTGGGACTTGCTAGTCTGTAAGCCGATCCAGGTTGATACTGTTGTTCACCGCTCCACAGCGGGGGATTTCACCCTCACCCTCTCCCCCCTCACCCTCTCCCCCCTCCCCTCGCGTCGCGTCACGTCGCGTCACGTCGCGTCGCGTCGCTTCTCTTCTCTTCTCTTCTCTTCTCTTCTCTTCAAGCAAAAGGTCGACTGGAAGACATTTTTTGGGCAGGGCCTGAATCAAAATCCTTTATCGCGCAAAAGCGTAGCCTTGGAGACTTTTTTTGCGCAAGACCTAGTAAAACTGCACATAAACCTGTGCAGACATCAGATTGAACGCATTTTTGGTGCGTGCGCGCGCGCATTTGCAAACGCACTTGGAGATCTCTTTCGGGCAGGACCTGATCCCACGCATTTGTCAAACTCGATTTGAACCTGCGTAAACATGAACCCACACATGTTTTGCAGAAACGCTCACAAATTTGCTTAAACGTCGCCTGGAAGACATCTCAAAGGGACCTGAATCCACGCATTGCAAAAACTTAGGGGCAGGAGCACACACACCTGTAGACATTGAGTGGAAGAATTTGTCAGGGCCGGAACCTATGTCAAGCTGCGCATAAACTAGGACTTGAATGCATTATATATATCTATTCTTTTTTGCAAAAGCGCGCGCAAACCCTTTTTTAAACCTCGAAAATGCATACAAACCTGCATCAATATCGACTGAAAAACATCTTTGCTTCCCTCCTCCTGTGAACATGCTTTTCATTTCATCCTTTTCTCATCCTCTTTCACTGTCTGACTATCTCAAAGCATACCTTTTACACCAAACTAACTCTACTTCAAGGCATGCAGTTAGTTGCCCCCTCATCGACGCAATCGGCCAGGCTCGGGGCGCATTGATTGGTTTCAGCGCGCCTCCAGGCGCAGCTGATGTCTCGTGGCAGGACAGATGAAAATCGGAAGGGGCAGATATTCGACAGAAGATCATACTTGATGTACTCCCATGTTCAAGCAGAAGAATCATGTTTGTGAAAGCACTTGAACCAAAAGATGTTTGCGTGTGTTCTGTTCAAGTTGTCATGGAAGGTTCATGGAGGTAGGAACAGGAGACCGAGCCAATAATCGGTACCCATCTCCCTCGCAGTTTTGTTCGTTACGTGAAATGAGACGAGGAGTACCCCATGCGGAGGCCGCTCAGGACACCAATTTCACGAAGACCGGTCAAGCTTAGTTGAGCACTGAATTGTAGAAGTGGCCAAAAATATTGCAATTCTTGACAGGGTGCGCTACCTGTATAGACTTTTTAGGGTCGTCTATTGTGAAGCCGTTGTGCGTGGAGCTTCTGCGAAGTTGCCTGTGGGCGCCACAGCGGTGGGAGATCGTAGATGCACCGTCGCCAACGCTTTTCGTTGAGTCGCGGCGTGAAGGGGGCCGCGTGAAGCTGGAGTTTGACCCTGGAACGAGCTTACAAGTAACTCAGTAAGCAAGAAGTAAGGTGGCAATAGGTAGGTATACTAACTACTGCGCGCACTCCCCACCTGAGGGCGGGAGCGCGGCTTCCTTGAAGAAACATTCGCGCTATTCGTGTGGTTCCTAGGTTTCGAAGGAAACGAATGCGTAACGCTACACGCGCAATCGCAAACGCCGCGCTCGCACGCTGGAACCTGGCGCCCAGCCAGCCGGCCCCTACCTTGCCCGGCTACCACCGCTACGATTTATAATTACTACGACGACAACAACAACAGCAACAACAACAACAACTACTGCTACTACTACTACTACTACTACTGCTGCCGCTGCTGCTGCTGCTGCCAGTGCTACTGCTACGGCCACTGCTCCTGCTACTGGTACTGCTACGACGACTGCTACAGTTGGCGCCGCTGCTACTAGTACTACTACTGGTGCTGCTGCTGCTGCTACTACTACTCTTCTTCTTCTGCTACTACTACTACTACTACTACTTCTACTTCTACTTCCACTTCTACTTCTACTAAGCAACCAACCAACCAACCAACCAACCTACCTACCTACCTACCTACGTACTACCTACTGCCTACTGCCTACTGCCTTCTACCTACTACCTACTACTACTACTACTTCTTCTACTTCTACTACTACTATTACTACAACGTATTTATACTTCCTATTCCTACTCCCTAAAATATGTTGTTACATACTACGACTTACCAACGCTAACTACTTCTGCCTCTTTTGCCAGCGGAGCCCGTAGCTACGCGAGCAACCTGGTCTGCTATTTCTTTGCCAGCTGGCTGGTGAAGTATAGAGCAGGTTGCTCGCGCTGTCTGAGTGCGGTCGGGGTGCCTTTGAACACCTGCTCCCTTATGGTATAGGTTCTGCTCTGCGGCGAGAAATGGTGGTGGGTGTGCGCTATGGGTATATTGACCCGATGCCCCCGATCACCGGAGACCTCTTTTGCGTTGTGCCGGCACCGCGGGTTCCAAATCTGCGCCGCACCGATACACCGATACACCGATATCCCCCCAGCCCTGGATATCGGCGTATCGGCGCCGTACCGATATCCCCCGAGACCCGGATATCGGCGTATCGGCGCCGCACCGATATCCCCCGGGACCCGGATATCGGCATATCGCCGCACCGATATCCCCCCAGACCCGGATATCGGCGTATCGGCGCCGCGCCGATATCCCCCCAGACCGGATATCGGCGTATCGGCGCCACACCGATATCCTGCCAGACCCTGATATCGGCGTATCGCCGCCGCACCGGTATCCCCCCAGACCCGGGTATCGACGTATCGGCGCCGCACCGATATCCCCCCAGACCCGGATATCGGCGTATCGGCGCCGCACCGATATCCCCCCAGACCCGGATATCGGCGCATCGGCGCCACACCGATATCCCCCCCAGACCCGGATATCAGCGTATCGGCGCCGCGCCGATATCCCTCCAGACCCCGGATATCGGCGTATCGGCGCCACACCGATATCCGCCCAGACCCGGATATCGGCGTATCGGCGCCTGCCCCGGATTTATCGGCGTATTGGCGCCGCGCCGATACTTGGTTGCCGGTTTCTACATGTAGAACTTGTATCTTAGTTATAAGTCAGTTATGGCCTTTTAAAACGCAACTTATCACTTCTGTAACATTCTAACCTCCGCTAACTTGTGTTCTCGAAGATATAACTAAGTGTCTGTACTCATAAGTAGTTATAACTATTTATAATTTCCATAAGTTGTTTGAGCCTCAACGACAGAACTTTCAAAATATGAAATCCTGAAAACTTATTTAAGTTACCAAACTTGTCGTGTTTCGTGTTCAAGTTTGTGGGAAAACAGTTTTTTGCTGTTTTCTAACATTTTCATGCGTGTTCGCCAGATGTTGCGTTACTGCGTATATATATATATACATAGTAACTCTGTGTGTGTTGTACGTCATCTGCAGCTCTTTGGGCCGCGCGTTGGCGGCGCTGTGTGCTGCCTCTGCGGCTCTAGGTTGCAAGATTTCTTGGCCCAACTGGTGTTCAAAAATTTCCGGGTGAGCTTTGGGTTGCAAGATTTCTGGACCTAACTGGTGCTCAAAAATTTTGCGGGTGAGCTTTAGGTTGCAAGGTTTCTGGACCTAACTGGTGTTCGAATTTTTTGCGGGTGAGCTTTGGGTTGCAAGATTTCTGGACCTAACTGGTGCTCAAAAATTTGCGGGTGAGCTTTAGGTTGCAAGATTTCTGGACCTAACTGGTGTTCGAAATTTTTGCGGGTGAGCTTTGGGTTGCAAGATTTCTGGACCTAGCTGGTCTCATTTTTTTGGGTGAACTTTAGGTTGCAAGATTTTGAACCCAACTGGTGCTCAAAGTTTTGCGGGTGAGCTGTAGGTTGCAAGATTTCTGGACCTAACGGGTGCTTTTTTTTTCGGGGCAGCTTTAGGTTGCAAGGTTTCTTGGCCCAATTAAAGTTTCTGGGCAAGCTTTAGGATGGAAGATTTCTGAACCTAGCTGGTAATCAAACTTTTTCTCGGGTGAGCTTTAGGTTGCAAGATTTCTGAACCTAACTGGCGCTCAAAATTTTGCGGGTGAGCTTTCAGCTTTACAATTGTTGAACTTAGTTGGTGCTCAAAATTTTGCGGGCGAGCCTTAGGTTGCACGATTTCTGGACCATACTGGTGCTCAACATTTTTCGGGCGAGCTTTGGGTTGCAAGGATTTTTTTGTCCAAATGGTGTTCAAAAGTTTTTCGGTGAGCTTTAGGATGCAAGATTTCTGAACCTAATTGGTGCTCAATCTTTTTCAGGTGAGCATTAGGTTGCAAGATATCTGGAGCTAACTGGTGTTCCAAAAAAAATTGGCCGAGCTTTAGCTTGCGTCGATATAAGCCTAAACCTTAAACTCCATGGCAAAAAAATTGGCGGCGTTTAGTTATTAATGAAGATGTACCTATAAATGCATCTTTTTGTATCTTTATATATCTTTCAGACCGGGTTCAAAAGATACATAAAGATACATGTATCTTTTGGCAGCGGACTCAAAATGTATCTAAATGTATCTTTATGTATCTTTTAGACCGGGTTCAAAAGATACATAAAGATACATGTATCTTTCGGTCCCGGACTGAAAGATACCGCTGTCAACCAATTAACATCACCAACAACCAGTCTCCAACAAATTTCGGGTGAGCTTTAGCTTGCGTCGGTATAGCCTTATAAACCCTAAACTCCATGGCTCAAAATTGGGCAGAGTTTTGTTATGAATGAAGATGATAAAGTTATATCTGGAGCTTAAATGCGGCGCTTCTGGGCCGCACGCACTCATACAACAAGCGTTCTGTCAATTTTTACCGCGAATATACATATACAAATATTGCTCTTGCAAATTTATCACAAACGCAAAACAGTTGAAATTCAAAAACAAAAACCTGAAAACTTATTGTAAGTTAAAAGTAACTTATAGAAGTTATAGAAGTTGTGAGTTTGGAATCCAAACCGCGTTCCTTGCCTTCAACACAACTTCGGTAACTTCCATCACCTAAGTTATAACTTCAACAAGGAGAAGCCGGCAACCAAGTATCCCCCCAGACCCGGATATCGGCGTATCGGCGCATCGGCGCAGCTCAGAAAAAACCCGCCATGCCACCACGCTGCTCTTTTGTTCTTGCGCTGTTCATGTCACATTTTAATGCTTCACGGAGATGAATGACGCTTTCTTGCTCAGATCAAATGGTTTGTTGGCGCATATTTAATCGGTTGACGGCCCTGTCATGTCGGAACATTTGGCTACGAGCAACATGTTTTCAGAAAGGTTGGCTACAGTGTGAAAACAGTTTGCGAAAATTGGAAACCTCGTTTCGTGAGTCAACGGCTCCAAAGACTGCACCTGTCAAGACACGTTGACATCAGTTGAATCGATCTTCGATGCGTTTGTCCTTTCAAACTACTGGCGAAGGGACCAGCTGAACTGTCAATGAACCTAAAACTCAGTGAATATATTGACACGCCGTGGCAGAAAAGACACAGACCCAACCAAACAGTTGAAAAGTCTGAGTTGTCAACGTGGCGAACAGGGGACGTGTGCTCCCAACCCATCACTGGCGCGGCGCATACTAGCTGATCGCTGCAAGTTAACGTGGCGAACGCGTGACGTGTGCATGTACAATGATCCTGCCGAATACACACAGAACCTGAACATTCAATGCTAGCAGCTAGCAGCTAGTCGTAAGAAGGGCATGGCTTCTATATTATAGTAACAAGGGCAATACTAGGTTGGAGGAAGACGCTAGTAGGTTGGAGGCCATACTAGCAAGTAGCTAGAAGCTACTAGGTTTGGCCATCGCTAGTAGGTTGGAGGCCATTATTAGCAGCTAGAAGCTAGCAGCTACTAGGTTGGTAGGTAGGAAGGAGACCATTACTACTAGTAGCTAGAAGCTGCTAGGTTGGGCCATCG